TTTAGCCCATTAACTATCCCACTATTGGCAATGGTACTACTGTACTTTCAATAAAGCAATCGTACTATCAAATTCACAAAAACTCTGTCTGAATACATTGCTCTTCTTCATGGGTTCAGTTGACTATTTAATCTGCAATTTCCTATGACCTGTATCCCAAACACACACCATGTGAAACTTTACGTGGGCAACTGTGCACTCAATGGGTATGGACTAGTATCTATTAAATATGGTTTTAATTGCTTGGAACAACAATCTTTGGCAGACATCATCCATGTTTGTTTGGTGCGTCGGCACTTTAGTGTTATTAAGCATCAAATAAAATATGTCCGACAACTCAGAAACTGTTTGGTGACCCTTCATTTGGCTGCTTACTGTCAGGTAAAATATTTTAATAGTGTTAGTATTTGCTGAAGACAGCTGTGCTGGGTCAGTGTTAGTTCAGGTTTATGATCCAGCATCTTTTCTACTGACAAATATACCTGTAAATTATCCATAACAATACTATTACTACTATATTATTTGATTATTATACTTGTTATTGTTTTAATTTTATTTTGTCTCTGGGTATTCTACTCTTTTATTTTTGTATTATTCTAATTGTCTGATTTTTTGTGCCTCAGTGCAGTCTCCAGGGTGGTTAATTGCCAACATCATTTATCTGTTTTATTGTTGGTATTTATCTTTATGGTTGGTGTTCTTTCTTTCTCATTAACTTTATGTATTGTCTGATTTTATCTGTTTAAATCCTGCAATGTTTTAAAACCTGGTTCAACCATGTAAAGCATTTCCAAACTTAATTTTGAAAGTGCTTTATACACAAAAAGTAGGGTCAGTTTAAATTTAACATTTAATCAACACACGGTGTGAATCCATTGCTTTTCATCTTGCATTAGTCCAAAGTTGTAACTGAACCTTCACTTCTTCTAAATCATGAGTGCCAATGAGGAGTGCCATATCACTCATATATTGTCTGGGCTGGTCCCAACAGGCTGCTGATACTGGAAAGAGTGAGATTCATTTTTTGTGCCCGCATACATATGAAAGCATGTTCATGCGTGATGAGGGAATCCTTTCCAAGCTGCAGCTTATCCAACCCCAACCCTTTGTCAGTCACAAAGACACAGAGCAGCCCTAGTTTATCTGTTCTATTCTATTCTGGGAATGGTTGGTGACCAAAAAGGAACAGAGCTGCACTGCACAGACCAGAGAGAGCTGCACTGCAACGCAGCACATCAACTTAACGTTACTGTTATTTGCTGACATCAAACTTGCTGTTCCTCTTATGGTGTTTTTTTTGTCCTCTCTTTTTGTGACCTAAAGGATAGTCCACTTCATCCTCTCATGAAGTTGTACACATTAACACCCATAAGACGAGGGGTAGACAGGGCCCTTGATGGGCCCATGGAGGGACACCCAGCTCTGTCTGCAGGTCATTTCAAGCACTTCTGGGGGCCCTCTGCTGGCCACAGAGGCCCTAAGCAGGCACTTTGGTGAAGTGTTGGGGCAGAGCAGCTGCTGTCAGTGGCTGCACTGTCAGAGCTCGGCCTTTTGAAAAGAGTAATGAGCAATAAATGTATCATGTAAAGTGTCACATCATCAATCAATCAATCAATCAATTTTATTTATAAAGCCCAATATCATCATCTCTCCTCTCTGTAATAGTTTTCCGAAACTGGCAGTGGAAGAAAAGAGCCTGTGTTCATGTCCTTGTAGCCCACTATGGCTTTACTGCAACATATATGGTCTTTGTATGGGTCCTATTTGGGTTGCCAGTCATCCTTAACGTCTAGTATCCTATGTGGAGCCCAAATGTACATGATGGCAATTCCAAAGGTTTGCATTACAAAGACTAAGGCATTTATTTAAATTAGAGAAAAAATATCTAATAAAAGGTTGACTGCAGCATGAAAGCTCCAGCCACAGTCAGAGGAGCTTTCTAAAGCATGTGCACTATGGGCCCAAAACAAAGAAACACTGAAAAAGTTTTTGTTGGTGTATATGCCTCCACTGAGCATCTCTTTTTTGAATAAATAGGTTCAAAACATTCACTTGTTTGGCGTTTCGCTTCACTATATTTGTGTTTTTTCAGTGCTGTGTTTCTTGGATACCTGTTGCTTACAGTCTTGCACCTAGTTGCTGCCCATTTATAAAGCTCTAAACTCACTTGAGTGCTGTAGGGGTTCATGCAACAACACAAAGTCCTATCAGGGGCCAACCTACTGCCCATATTTAGACACCAGTGTCATGTGACTCACCACTGTATCTTTATAGTGGTGACACAGACATAAACAGATGAACAGAAAACAATCAGTGGTACCCCCAGAAATGTTTCATAGGGGTGGACAGATGGGGCCACTGGAGCCGTTCCACACTGTCCCCATGTTTGGTCCCCCCTCTGTTGGGGTACTCTCACTCTGCTCAGGGCTGAGTTGTGACTGGTTTTGAGGCTCATGTAACCACTGTTCATACTGTGGAGAGTTTAACATATATTAGTAAACTATAACTATTAAATGTAAGGAAGTTTTTCTGTCTCTAGCAGCAGCTGGAGTCGGAGAAAAAAAAAAAACTTATTTCACTGGGCCGACTGCAACTTTTAAGGTGGAACGTTCACTTGTAATGTTACTTAATGTATGAGTTGACGACGTGACTCAATCAACACACTTTCAATTTCACTGTGACAACTTTGACTGTTCCAGTAGTTTTTATTGTCTCTCTTGGATGATATACACTTTTAGGAATGAGCGGATCTTCAAGCTTTTAAAAATATGTATTAATTTCGACCGGATTACGTGAACTGTATATATTCTAATCCTCGCTTGAAGAAGTGTTGCAGGGTGTTCCTGTGGGCTACGGCAACACTAAACCCCTGAGCTTGCCTGAGAAGGACTAAATGCACAAACCTGCTATTTTTACATATCCCAGCCTGTTCTGTTTTGTTCTGAAAACATCAGGGTGCAACATTATTCTGTGGACGATAAATGAAGTGCTGTGTCACCAGTGATGAGGAAACACAGTGAGTGCTGGACGGAGCTGTGAGTGACAACAACCCCGCCCACGTTTAACAGTATTGTTTGCGGTGGAAACGCTTGGGTCTAGGTACCATGTCTGAAGGGTTATTGTTGGGTCCAAAGGAACCACACCAGAAGTGTTTGGTGGGAACAGGGCTTTACAACTCATTTTGATTCAGATATCCTGAAGTGAGACTTAAAGGGACCAACGATAAGACCCTTGTACTGTTAATGAACAGTATGGTGTTTTTTGGTGGGCGGGGCTTAGCTGGAGACAAAACAGTTCTCCACAGATGTTGTTCTGTTGGCTTGATTTCGACACTGGAGGAAGATGACACAAGCCTCTCTGAAGAGGTTACGTTAGGAAATATTCATTTATTCATTCTGTTCTGGCACAAACTGGACCGTTCGTAAATTCAAAGCTAATTCAGTCTATGAAGACGGAGCGGCAGAGAGCTGAGCAGAGTGAATGTATGATTAAATTAACCGTCCATTAATTCATGTAGAAATATAACGCTCCATTTCTTCGACCAACAGGGCTCTCATTTTAGCGTATAGAGCATCACACTGATTTTACGAACGCACCATGTCAGGTCATTCACTCTCAGGGATCGTGAATGTTACTTTAAAATGTAAACACTGACCAACAGGACCAGACTGGCCGACCCGTATGCTCTCACTCAGTGGATGGATGATGTCACAGGAAGCTTTGTGGTTGATAACTATGCCAATCTCACAAAGGAGGACGACACTTGAACGGTTTCCTCCAGTTTGTTTTGCTATTGAAGCTAACGTTGGCTAATGCGCTAAAAAAGCATTACGGATAAATCCAATATTCCTCTTAATACCTCCCCAGTTTCTGATGAGGTGGACATGATAACCCTGAATACACATAACGTTATTCATCCCCACAACAGGAAATACTTTCCCCCTAACCTGATATGAAGTGTGGGCTAAACGTGAGCATTTGTGATGATCGCCACTATCCAGTCCTTACATCTTATCGCATGTTAGCTGTGATTGTTTATGACGGGCAGCTGGTTTGCGATAAAATTTAAGTTTTGAGCCATGACTCCTTCTATTCTGGCTCCCAGTAACACAGCAAGATGACATTTTGAGACTCCTTTGTAATAATAATAATAATAATAATACATTTTATTTAAAAGCGCCTTTCTCAACACTCAAGGACACTTTACAGAGCATTAAAAACACAATTAGAGTCATAATTAAAATAAATAAAAACAACAGACAAGAGTGACAGAAAGTAAAAATGGATGTGGGCAATTAAAGGGAATATGCAATTTGGAACAGATGGGTTTTGAGTTGTGATTTGAAATGGGGTAGAGAGTCCATGTTTCTGAGGTCCGGGGGGAGAGAGTTCCAGAGTTTGGAAGCAGAGCAACTGAAAGCTCTGCTCCCCATGGTGCTGAGCCGGGCGGAGGGCACAGAGAGGTGGAGGGAGGAGGAAGGAGGATGACCTGAGGAGCCTACAGCCCTGTGGTGGAGAGTCGTGTTTTGTCTTTAATGAAATGACATCATGGTGACTCCGGCAATGAAAGGGTCTGTTGTATCAAGGGGGCCATGACCCCCTCTGGCCATCCCTTGGGTGCACCACTGATAAAGACAGACACATAAAAACCTTCAAATAACTTAATTTAAACATATTAAACACGGTTTCATTCACAAAAACAATGATGACGTCACCCCCATCAGGAATAAACAGTGTAGTCCTGAGTGGAGGTTATCTGAACACCCAGAGGCCCGTGAGACGTTCAGGAATGCAGTATTTTCACATTTCATTGCATCTCCCTGTTACCATATGGGCCAACATGGACATCTGGTATGTCCGCAAAGTTATTACTTCAAACAGATTAGGTAACAGCAGAGACTGTGTGGTTTTAATGTGGACGGTACTCATGGGGATAGTTTGTTTTCTGTGTGATTTCCTCGAAGCTTGATTCCCACCGGGGAAAAACGAGGCGTGCCACCCGGTGGCCGCTGCGCGCTTCCGCGTCACTTCCTTGTTCTTCAGTGGAAGGCGAAAACTTTTCACGGGTCAGACACGTCCGGGGTAGCCACTTTGTTTTCGGTTAAGCCAGCGTTAAATGTTGTAACCAAACATCTAATTCCTCCTTCATTGCTCCGAGCTCGCTCCGAGCCGACACAGAGTTAGAAGTTATGGCTGACAGCCGAGAAGAAGAGGACCGAGAAGGAGACCAGGAGCCTCAGGGCGCCGTGGGTGGGGAAGGTATGTGAAGCCATGTCAGGTGTAACAGACCAGCTGAAGCGACCATTTTTTCACTAAAACCGAACTTTGTTGGATTTCCTCTGAACTTTAGTGTCTAATTTAACTTCCTGGTGACGTCATGTTATCTTATCAAGGACGGAGAGACGTTTGTATCGAAGTTTGCTTCCTCTCGTCACCCTCACCTTCACCCCTGTCCCTCACCCCGACTTGTCGTCCCCTGTGGTGTTTAAGGCCCAAACCTCACCCTAACATCAATCAGATATCTGTGCCACAGCTACCCAAAACCTAATCACCGTGCATACAGGAGGAAACCGCAGTATCTGAGGAGGAACAGGGCTGTATCTGAGGTGTATTGAACCCTGAGCTAGCGTCAGCTGTGTTGTGCAAGACTACCTGACATTTATCACGTTACCTGGTGAGAGAGACAGCTTTACTGCAGTTCCTGTGGTTAACCCCCAAAATGGAGATCAAACACTGAACAATATGACTGTGGTTCTTTTGATGTGTATCTTATGACATAGCAGTCAGGGGTGTAAATATAACCAGTGCAGGCAGTACGGTTGCACTGGGGCCCCGGGGGAGGTGCAGTAGTTGTAGTCGGGGTGTAAATCACCAGTTACATCACAATACAATATTATATTGACTCGTTGGACAACAATACGATATTTGCTGATATTACAAAGTCTGCCATGATATGATTTGATGCGATTAAGGGGCCTGCGATCGATATGAGATGAAATCTGATCATTTAACACAGCCTGTCACAGACGAAGCTGCCATCCATTTATTTTTTGTAGCGATGGCGAGATGAAGCTTCTTGAAGCCTTCCAGCCGAATGGTTCACAAAAAGGTTAATTTCTCAAGGCTTCATGTGCACACAAACCCCCCTGCTGATCAAAGACTGTTGGTGTGTCTCAAATCACATACCTCCCAGGGCTTGACGCTAACTTTTTTCCCAAGGAGCACATGTGCTCCTAAGTTGAAAAAGTAAGGAGCGCACAAAGAACTTTAGGGGCACAATGTAAATTGATCAAATAATGTGTTTTCCGTAATAAACGTGATGCAAATAGACATTTACAAGCAAAATTATTTAATGAATTTGTATACAAAATGTACAGAAAAGTAAAATCATCAAGTTTTGAAAAAATATTGCGATTTAATTTTGTCTTTAATGTTATTATCTTATATATATTATCTTTGCAAGATGATTATCTTATAGCCTATAATGTTCAGTGTTTCCTCATCCCTCAGTTGGGACCCATGGTACAATACCAGTGAAAGTATCATGGTTCTGAGGCAGATGTGCCTTTTGTCATTTATAAAAAGATAAATCACTTTTCTATAATACATCACTGATATTTCAATGGAATAAATTACTTATTGACTTATTCATACTTCAAAAACAGCATCGATCAGTGATGAACATAGGGGGGATCAAAATAAAATAAATAAATGAAATTAAAAAAAACACCCACCCTCCTCCCCTGACAGTCTCTTCATAAGTAACGAACAGTCCCTAAAGTTTCTCCTCTGATACGACACATACTGTGTGCCCCCATGGCTCAGCTGTTCAGGTACTTTTGGGCAGTCATGACAACAAGTTATTCACCTGGAGCCGGACTTCTTCGCCGGTAAGCCGTTATAATGCGCCGCCGTATTTGACAGGAATACGTATTCCTGTCCGTGTCTGTGACCCCCGTTCAACCCACAACCGGCGGGATTCGCCGTTATTGTTTATCGCCTCACTGCCGACATTTTACTCCATCCGTCACTGCACGCTGTTTGATTGCGTTATCAAAACACGCCGCTATTATTCGGCCTTGCTTTTCACTTATTCCACCGAATAGCGAATGTGTGTTTTTTTTGCAATATTCGGCCGAATATATTCGGTGCATCCCTAAATAGGAGCCTTCCCCCACTCCCCACTCCCCTCACCGCTGCTCTCCTCACTATACTGGCTGCTGCGCTGTGCAAGTGCACAGATGTCTCAGAGTGGTGGTGCACTTGCAAAAATGTTTTGAAGGAGCAGCAGCGACGGCAATAATAACGAATGTAGCGGAAACACTGATGTTATTACTATCCTAAAACATTCTCCAGGTCCAACTCTGCAGGACTTATTTCCATCCTGCCCAGCAGCGGTACCGTGGCGAACGGTCCCTAACTGCGTCTTCTCCACACTTTGACTTATTTCCACGCTGCCGACAGTGGGACTATAGGCCTATTCACTGTGCCGACAGTGGCTTGGAAAACCGGCCATAACGCCAGGGCCTGCCCTGACTGCGAAGCGCAGCGCACCGAAATTCTCCCGCGAGCCAGAGCACTTCCGTTCACATCAGACGCGCATTTCTCCACGCTGCTCCCAGCTGTTGTCTTCGTCACATTTGGGGCTGTTTTTCCATCATGGGTAACTACCCAGCTTGACACATTAGCTCGCGGCTCGCGCAGAAAATAGACCAGACGCCGAAATGATCGCTGCAGGGCCGGCGGCGGAGCTGCGCGGTGCGGCCGGTGTGGATGACACAATCGGTTAACATGGGTGCCGAAAGGAAACTGGCTTCACTTCTCGGCACTTCGAGGCTATTCGCGGCGCTTCCGCGGGTGGTGTGGTTCTTAACCATGTCACATGGGGAAGAGGGAAGAGGGAAGGCGGCTGGAGTTCCTCCAACATTTGCGGTTAGATTATCATATTTTTTTATTGACAAAAATATAGGCTGCTTCGGCTGATTTTTTATGCGCATACGTGCCCCTAAATATTTTTTACAGTTTGCACACACCTATTTTTATTTTTTTTCCATGTAGTATACTATGTGCACTATGTATTCATTGGCGTAGATTGTGCGCAAATTTCAACAGGGTAGTGTTGTCTCAAACCAAACACTGCCGTTGTGCACTCACCGGAAATGACGATCGCAAATTAGCTAGTTAGCAAACTAGCATTAGCGTTATCGTTCGCGGTACCAAATCATTACAGACTGCTAAATTAACCCAACAAACATACTGCTGGCTTATACCCGACAACAGTATAGTGGTGCTTAGTACAAAATGAAGCGGCGTTCACGGTGGCACAGTCCTATTTGCAGTTTGAAAAGTGGTCCCTCCCCTTTCGCTACGTAGCCAAGATGGCGACCATTGAGTGCGAGAAGTGTCCATAGTTCCACACTCAACTTCTTGACCATTTTGAGTGCACCATCTGGGTACTCACAGTGCACTGCATTTTTCCATACTTCTCAGTGTGAATGCTCTTATGCACTCAAAATATTAAGTGTAAGTACGGAAGCATGCGATTCAAGACACAGCATGTGAAACAGCCAGATATATTATAGGTAATTTTATCAATCTGTAACACTCAAGACTGAAAAAAAACTTGTGGGCAACCGCACTCACAAAAGACAAAAAAGTCAAAATGTATAATTTACTAGGGCAACACACAGTCAAACAAACGTTTCGGCCTAAGCCTTCTTCAGTGTATCAAACAGAGACAAAGACACTGAAAGCCTGCTATATACACTGGTAAAGTTCTAGCACCAATCACAATGCAAGGTATAATGAGAGGCAATAGAAACCATCTGTGTTGCAGCTGCAGCCAATGACAGGCTGACACAGAACAATTGTCAAGACTGTTGCACCTGAGTCAGTCCATTAATAGAAACATGCAAATACACTGAAAACATAAGAACATACAAGTTATACAGACTCAGACTAGTTGAATGGGAAAAGGGGAGAGTTAAAGTGACTGAAAAAAGGCTGAAAAAAGCTTTTAAGTCACTGGGCATAACTCAACTAGGGACTAAGAGAACCCCAGCTGAATAGTCAGAACCTAACACACACCAATCTCATTATTCAAAAATATAAAGTAGGAAAAGTTTAAAAATGATTACAGGGCTCCACTAATCCATCCATAATATTGAGACACTCAAGACTGTCCTTCAACAGTGCAGCCATGTGAATGACAAATAGAAGAAATCAGTTCATCTTAATAAATGCATTTCATGTATCGTTCATGTATTCATTCATATAAATGAAATTTCTATTTTTGTTTAGTGAATTATGGGTCTGTAACATGACAATACAATGGAGTCTAATATTATGTGTCAATTTTTTTTATCAATACATAGTTTTGTCAACTTTTGAATAACTCATAATGATAGGGGAACAATTGTTTTCAAACTGTTGCAGTGTTTAAACAAGGTATGGGGCAGTGAATGTGCTCGTGAACATGAAGAAGGCAGTGCATTTGTTTGTGCAACTTAAGGACTTTATTCCTTTTATTCAGAAACAAAATAAGTTCAACTGTGCTGGAGTCCAGATGATTCCTCCTTTTATAAACAACTTCTGCTTTGGTGAAAACTATAGTATAGTACATTGCATAACAAACATAAAACACATGTAATAGTGTTACTGAAAGTGTACTTACCTTATTAGGAGAGGTTAGATCAAAATGTTTCCACACTTTCTCTTTCACACAGGCTCCATCAAAATAAGCAGCAGTATATCAAAATTAGGGCTGGGCGGTATGACCTAAAATTCATATCACGGTATAAATCGAATCCCTTCACGGTAACGGTATATATCGCGGTATAAATTTAATTGTAAAAGTTATAATAGAAGTGTTTCTGAATGGGTTTTGTAGTCCCTTAGCAAAGCTAAATTGATAAAAAAAAAACAACAACAACAACAAAAGCAAAGATATAATGTATTTTTTAGAGCATTTATTGTGCAGAATGCAGATCTCAAAACTCAAAATTAAAACCCAGTACTCTATGGTGCAAAATGTCCCCTGGGATCTATATCAAAAGGTAATTTCCTTCTTTTAGCAACATCCTAAATGAGTTGTGTTTTTTCCACCTGGACCTTTATGCTCTGCCATTTCTCCTCTAATCATCACGCTGTAACCTGTGACAGGCTGTTATGATACCACAACTATCACACATTCACATATGGAGTTTTTTTGTGGAGCCCCTAGCGTCACATAGGTTTACATTACCAAAGGTTTATGACAA